GGCCGCGACCGCGGCCGCCGGCGCCGCCGGCGCCGCGGCGGCCGGCGTCGCGGCCAGCTGCCTCATGGAGCGCCGCGCGCGCAGCGCGTCGACCCACGGGTGCTGCAGCAGCTGCAGCACCGCCGGCCGCGCCCGTGGGTCCTTTGTCAGCGCGCCCGCAATGAACGAGCGCGCGTCGTCCGTCATCGTGCGCGGGAACGACGGCGCCGCCGCCTTGATGCGCGCCTCGACGCGATCGCGCGTCTGCTCGTAAAATGGAGGGCAGCCGACCAGCAGCTCGTAGGCGAGGACGCCCACCGCCCAGCTGTCAACGGTGCCGCCTGTCGTGGGTGCGTGCGCGCGTGCGTGCGTGTGTGTGTGTGTGTGTGTGTGTGTGTGTGTGTGTGTGTGTCCGTGCATTCGTGTGTGTGTGTGTGTGTGTGTGTGTGTGTGTGTGTGTGTGTGTGTGCGCGTGCATGCGTGCGTGCGTGCGTCCGTGCGTGCATGCATGTGTACGTGTGCGCGTGTGTGCGTGCGTGCGTGCAAGGGCGTGTGGGAGCGTTGGGCGTGCCGCGGAATTGGCGGGATGGTGATTGAGAGCGCTACATTGTTCCTCGAGAATGCTTGGCAAGGGTGTGAAGGGGCGAGCGAGCGAGCGCAGTTGCAGCATCGGCTGTTGGGAAGGAGGGGAGCGGGACCTGCCTGCCCTGTCTATGTGTGCAGCCGCCGCAATTCAGCGTTCCTGGCTTGTCACAAAGTCTGGTCTTTGAAACATAAAAATAATTGTTTTGCGTGCGTGCTATGATCGTTACGCAGAACACCCCATTGGTAGCTACATGTCTGTTAACAGGCTGTGCCAACTGGGTCACACGATGCGCATGACCCACACTCCTCTGCCCAAATTGGTGCTTTGGAGCGCCGTCCCGGGCCCGCGCGCTGTGGGGCGGCCGCGCGTGTCGTGGTTTGACATAGGGAGGCGAGACTGTGCTGCCATAGGGACCGATGTCCCCGTTCACCTGGACGGCCGCTGCTCTAACCGCCCCGCTTGGAAGAAGGCGTGCTTATCTCTCCTGCCAAGGAGGCGTGCGCCCTCTCACTAATTGTCGACTTGGCCGCACCCGCTTTCTCCTCTGGCCTTTACGGTTAGGGGCGTTACCCCTTTGGGGAGCCAGGGTCTCTCCCCTCGCTGCTGGAAAAGCGTGATGTAATGTAATAATGTGCGTGCGCGTGCGTGTGTGTGTGTGTGTGTGTGTGTGTGTGTGTGTGTATGTGTGTGTGTTGGAGTGAGCGTGTGCGCGCAGATTGTTTTTGTGTTTGTTAGTAGTATCTCACTGTAATGGAGGTGCGTCTTCTCTTTGTTCTCCTCGGGGTGGTTCTTGTAAGGGCAGTTGAGGACCTGAGTCGTGGGGCGGCCGAGTGCGCCGCGTTGCAGAGCGCAAGGTCATGAATTGCCGCATGGATTGCCCCATTCACACTTGTACGCACACCCTGATCAGCTGCAAGCACACTCATAACACACACACACACACACACACACACACACACACACACACACACACACACACACACACACACACACATACAGACACACACGCGCGCGCGCGCACGTGCACACACCTCCGGGGCCATGTAGTCCAGCGTTCCAGCCCGCGTGACGGCGCGCTCCTGCCGCAGGTCTATAGCCAGACCAAAGTCTGGGGAACAGGGCCACAGTTGGCATAGAGTGAAAACATAATGAGAAAAAGGGAGTGGGATGACAGCCGATGCTTGAAGGAAACCAAGGGTTGACGGCAAGAGCCAGGCAAGACGGATGACAATCCTGCTATGCTGCCGCAGCTGCGCGCCATGTCACCTCCGCGCCTCCCCCTCTCCCCGCCGTCCCAGCTGCCACCTGGCAGTGAAGCGCCGCCTCGCATCGGGGCGCCGCCTCTGTGCGCCCTGCGCGCACCCACCGGCCAGCTTCAGGCACATGGCGCTGGTAAACAGGATGTTCTCGGGCTTGATGTCGCGGTGCACGATGCCGCGAGTGTGCAGGTACTGCAACGGGACGTGTGAAAGAGATCCGAGCGATGGGCCAAGTTAACCTGCTAAAATAAAACAGCACAAGCCGGGGCGGCCCGCGCCCAGCTGCTGCCTGGCGGCTTCGTGGCGCCAAGGCAGCAGCCGGCGGAGGCCCCAGCAAGACGGTGGTGTGCGAAAACCCAGTGCACGCCCACGGGGCAGCACTCTCACCCCGCCAGGCCCGACGGCTGCAGGACAGATTAGGAGGAGCTGTACAATTTTCACCCCCACCCTGCTTCCTTGATTATCCATTTCAGACCCGGCAAGCGCAGACCCAGCAGCTGCACCTGCAGCTGCCGGCAGCGGCAGCTGCCGCGCACCTGCAGGGCGCGCAGGAAGGGCTCCAGCACCAGGGACACCGCCGCGCGCTCGTGAAGGCGCCCCCCATACTTCTGCAGCAGGCTAAACAGGTCGCCGCCGTCCGCGTACTCCTGAACCATCACCACAAACTCCCCCTCCTGCTCGAGTGGTTTCAAGTTTTCCTTTTTATTTGAAAAATTGTGTCTGATAGCGTGCGGGAGTGTGAGGGGCTTGCGCATGGAGCCCCCTTCGCAAGGGGGCGACGAGGCAAAGCCGATGCTTCCCGCTGGTGCCCCACGCGTGACGATGCTTCCACTTGACGCTGGCTGCTGCGCGTGGGGTTGATTGGGGGATGCGACCAGGCAACAACAGGGGCTGCGGGAGGGGCGCAAGGTCCAGGCTGGTGTTTCAGACCAGGGCACGTGCTGTGCACGCTTGCGGGGCTTGAATCAAAACACAGATCAGGTCCAAAAGCGTGCCTCACCTGGAACGCGGCGTAGAGGGTGACCACGTTCTCATGCATCAGGCTAGCGTGCAGGCCGACCTCCCTGGGCGAGCAGCGGCGGCGAGCGGGCGAGAATAAATGCGAATACGCAGGCACGGATGCGGCGCGGGGCCGCCCGCAGGCCGGGGCGGGACGGCCATCAGGCTTGGCCGGGGCGCCGGCGTGGCCAACACTGTCGAGTGCAAGTAGTGTGTGTGCGCAACCTCGGACAGCACGACCGACCTGAAGATCTGGTGCTGGTACAGCTCGCAGATCGCGCTGAGCTGGTAGCTCTTGAGCACCACCACCTCGCGCGTGCGCTTGCAGATCGCCTTGTACACTGCAAATGGTTCAAATGGTTCACATTCATCTGACGGGGTGTATGCGGCAAGGCTTCGGCATCGGGCTTGCTTGAAATTGGCAGAGCGCCTTGAAATTGGCCGCTGCACGCTTCCGCAGCGGTCGATCCCAGCAGACGAAGCCCCCGCAATGGACGTTCCCTCCTTCCCTCCCGCCGGCTGCTTGTGGGCGCAGGGCGCGTTTTGGTGCTCACCCTTGGATGCATACCCGGTGTAGAGCTTTTCGAGGACCTGGTAATCAGCCATGCACCAGCACTCACGCTGCATGGACGGCGGCACTGTGGGGCACAGCGCAAGCAGCTTTGTGTGGCTGCGCGCCGCCTGCTGCTGCTGCTGCTGCTGCTGCTGCTGCTGCTGCTGCTGCTGCTGCTGCTGCTGCTGCTGCGGCTGCTGCTGCTGCGGCTGCTGCTGTGCGACGGCCGCCGATGCCGCCGCCGCCGGCTGCCGAGCCGCAGCGGCCGGCGAGGGGGTGACGAGGGGTGCAATCGGCCGGGTCGAGCGGCACACGACCTCGCAAATGTTGGCGGTGCGGCTGCTGCCGGTGGACGCATGGGCAGGTGTTGAGCAGCTGCCGCCATCCGACGACCAGCCAGCGGCCGAGCTGTCCTCGGACCCGGCCGCTTGGTTGCTGCGGAAGGCCGCGATCAGGCCGCCGTCCCGGTTAGGGGATGAGGGGCTGGCAGCCTCTGCCTTGTGCAGCATGGGTTCAAAGAGGCTGCCGCCAATACCTAGATCGGCATCAGGTGCCGCCGCGCGCTGAGACAGCATAGTGGCCAGCTCGAGCTGCGAGCTGCCCGGTCGCTGCGAACGCCTCCTGCGGCGGGTCGTGCCAGCTCAACAGCGCCGGGCTGATTGTGATGCCCGCTGCGTTGTTTGAGAGCACGGGCCAACGTGGCCGCGGTTCTCCTGCAATTGAAGTTTTGCGGTCCAGGGGCAGCAGCGGGTCGGAGTCCGCACGCCCAAGGCTTCAAGTCAGAATCAATCTAATAGTATAATAAATTTGATTGGTCCAGCTGCCGCACGCGGTAAGTTACAACGCGCCTGTGCCGTTGGGTCCCCTCGCCAAGCGCTTCGTTCGCTTTCAAAAGATTCTACTGTATGTACGCGTATATTTATTGTTTATTGTGTAGAAGGGCGTGGCAAGGCAAGCTATGGGCCAAATGCTTGCTTGTGAGACCTGCAAATTCCTGTAACCCCCCAATGACTGGTTCGTTCATGTCAACCCTGCCTTTTTGTGCAGCGAGCGCCACGACCAACAGCAAGCACTTCATGACAAACATGAAGTAAAATCACAGCTGTCATTGCAGTTGTGTCCCCTCGCCGAAGTGCCAGCAAGCTAGGACTGCTGTCACAGACTCATGAAAAGCGACGGCGAAGCTGCACCCTTGCAGCATGCAAGGGGATCTGTGTTGCATCCACATTCTACAACCGACGATTTGCGACGCTCGCACCCGTGCATGGGATGTTGGTGTTACATACGCGATTGCGCGCCACCACCTTGCGGCCCACGACACAGCGCAGGCGTGCGCATGCGCGGGCGCGGCGGCGGCTGCGAGCGCGGGGCCAGCGGCGCGGCGTCAGACGACGGGCGTGCCGGCGCTGGGGTGAGCCGCTGGGTCTGGGTAGTACTTGAAGTGGAGCTCGGTGACATCATCGCCGCGCACCTTGGTCCAGCCGTCCTCGGTCACGTGGTAGACTGGCGATGCGAATTTGCCCGCGAGAGTGTGTGCGTGTGAGTTTTGTGTGTGTGTGTGTGTGTGTGTGTGTGTGTGTGTGTGTGTGTGTACGCACGCATGGGTGGGAGCAAGCGAAGACATATGTAAGCTCGCGCACAAAGTCACCAGTCCTGCTGCCACGCATGCCACGCATGCGGGGGAGGCGACCCCCCTCGCAGCGTTGGCCAGCGCGCGCACGCGCGCGAGCGGCGCGCGCCGCCCACCACTGACGGTGCCGCCGCTGGCGCAGTCCCTGAAGGTCGCGTGGTAGATGGCGCGCCGCCCCAGCTCGATGGCGTCCTCCACGCTCATGTCCCTTCAAATAATGGAGACGGAGGGACGGTCGGGACATCAGAAGCGCGCATACCCCGGTCAAGATGCGGTCGGGCGTGGGGGGTCCTGGGGCCCCGCCCACGCGTCAACCGGCCCAAACTGGCCGTCCGGATGACGGCGGGGCCGGCCGGTACGGCGCGGCGCGGGGTGGGGTGGGGTGGGGTGGTGTGGGGGCGCCGCTGCACGAAGCTGAAGCGCCAAGCTGCGACGGTTTGCCTTCCCAGGCCCTTGCTCTCAAGGTTTTAATCAGCCGCACCCACCAACACCCGTCAATTCGCCCGCTGACCTCGCCGCCCAACCCCGCTGGGGCCCCAAAATGGTCAAACCGGCTGGTGGAACAGCCCCGTCTGCAGCGCAC